GCCATTTTAACTCATTTATTTTAGCTGAGATTCGATCAAACTTTTTGAGCCTAAAAACAAATCTACAACAGCAATTTTGTACCTTTTGAAGTCTGTATTTCAAAATAGACGTTAAGAAGGGATAATAAAGCGTGATTGCATGATTTAAAATAGGTAATACTAGGCTCTCTGAGAGCTTTTTACGTAATTTAAAATTTAAAATACCACCATTTCGATACAGTAGCCTTAAAACTAGGTAAGTCTTTTTCACTAATAGTGAGACGTACTCTTCAAATCTGAGCTTACAGTCGAAAATAACACCAAGATTCTTTGCACTATTAACTACTGAGACTAATTTTGATATGCTGCATAAAAATTTCATAACATGGCGGAGAGAAGATAACAACTTGACATTTATCTGGATTGAGGTTTAAGTTGTGATTAAAAGAATATTTTTGGATATTTTCTAAATCTTGATTAATATAAGCAGATGCGGTATTTATAAATCTAGGATCGAACGACAGGTATAATTGTGTGTCATCAGCATAACCTTGTATCTTGCAATAAGTGATAGTTTTAAAAATATCAGACGTATATATAATAAATAGCAAAGGTCCTAATATGGAGCCTTGAGGGACTCCAGAAGTCACAGGCTGGAAGTCAGAATACGAGCTATTATCAACCACAACACATTGGTAACGGCCCTGAAGGTAAGATTTGAATAGTCGGCAGCCCAATTGATTTATACCATAATATCGTAACTTTGCAAGAAGTAAGCAGTGATCAATCGTATCAAACGCCTTCGAAAAATCAAGAAATACAAGAGCTGTAGCAAGGCCAGCGTCGAGAGATCTAATAATATCATCTGATACATTTAAAAGGAGCGAAGTTGTGCTATAGCCCCTTCTGAATCCAGACTGTGATTCAGGTATAATTTGGTTAGAAATCACAAATTCGTATAACTGTAAATAGATCACCTTCTCCAGTACTTTAGACAGAGCAGGCAGTATACTAATTGGTCTTAAGTCATTATATACAGACGGTATGCTTATTTTGGGCAAAGGTTTTACAAGAGCATATTTCCATAAACTAGGATAATAACCAACCTCTATGCAGCAATTTATAATATGAGTTATGTGTGGGGCAGTTACAGAAATAGAGTATTGTAGCATTTTTGCACTAATTTCGTCCACACCATATGCGCTAGACGTTAGATCAAGAACCAGTTTTTTTACTTCATCCACATTAGCAAAATTAATAGAAAAAGAAATATTAGAAAATTTGCCTGAATTATAAAATGCAGTAGCTTCAGGACAGCTATTTGATGGACTAAAGACTGAAAGAAAATGACTATTAATTTCAAAAGGTTCTTTTAGCTGTAGAGGTATATCTGTATTATGTTTTCTTTTGATATTGAGGCGATTGACTGCTTGCCAGAGATCCCTATAGTTACGACAGTTTAGTGTTGATGACAAAAATACAGCTTTTTCATGTCTCAAAGCAGAGCACACAGAATTACGTAATTCTTTATATATAGCAAAGTCCGACAGTTTACCGGATTTTTATACTTTTGCAAAGCTTGATCCCTTTTTTTCATCATAGCTTTGAGGTTAGGGGTAACCCACGGAGCAAAAGGTTTTGTTATGCGAGAGGTTCTAACAGGGGCATGTCTGTCAAAAAGATCGACTATTAGATTATTAAACAGCGCTACTTTATCATCGAGATTATTTATATAGAAAATATCATTCCAAGGTAAATTTACTAAGTCTGAATTGAAAGCATCATACGAAAAATTTCTGTAATCTCTGTATTTTAATATGAACGGCTTAGGACGCGATGTTCGGTGTGAGAGCTCACAGTAGATTGCTTTGAGATCAGATATGCCAAAACTATCAATAACACCCGAGTTTACAACTCTTTCATTTGCACTGGTAAAAATTAAGTCAATTATCGTTTGTGATAAGGCAGTTATTCTAGTTGGCTCTGTAATGAGTTGATGGAAATCATATGAAATAAAGCAATGATTGACTTCGTTATCATACGAGGCGTGTTGCCGGGTCCTTTCCCAGACTATACATAGAACTATGGACATTTGATTAGGGAAGCAATGTGCGTGTGTACGTTATACCAAAATTTTTTTATGAATTATTTATACAGTAAGCCATTTTTAAGGCAAATGGACTTTATTCCAATACGTATCCTAGATTACTATCTTTCAACAATGGCGTAACCAGTGTAATGATAAAACTGTATCTGCTTTAACTAAACTTTTCTTTTTTCAAAGCGACTCATTTTATCGATGTCAACAATGGGTAGATTTCTTTGCCAAAGGCTCTTGCTATCATAGAATCTCATTGTTGAGCCCTTACTTACAAACTAGCAAAATTGCATTGAGGCTATCCTACCCATGCGCCGTTAATAATTTTCTATCCGCTTGTGTCCTCTAGGAGTCTGTATCTCTTTGGGCAACATCTGGGATGCTTTGTATAGTTTTAACAGTTAATAATCCGCTGCTTATTTTTGAGTAACTTTCAATTTTAGCAAAACATGTGTATGTATGTATGCAGGGTGACCCAGAAGTTGACGTCAAGCCGAAACTGGGTGATTCAACTTTACTGCCAACTTTTCTAGTTTAGAGGAAAGTGCTACTTTTTTCCAACCAAGTATTCCAAATTAAAACTACGCTCAGCTTTATCAGACTGTACTGGAAAAAATGTACTACGAGAGTTTGGCGAGTAACCTTAAGGGTTGGCGCATTTAATAAGGATTTGAAAATGGTATAACACTTAGAAGATTATTTCTTAAGTTACGCACAATTTTTATTTAAAGAAAAACCCAGTTTTTCACCAGTTTCTACTTAAATGAGTTACCTAAATATTAGAATCATTTAGTTCCCCGATGCGTATTTTACTAAGGGTGAGAGAGATATAAACTTTATTTTCAGATGGTCCAAAGTGTATCGACTTTGACAATTAGAAGTGTTTCAAATCTTTAAATAGGAATTCTATTATTTGAATGTTAATAACTATTAAACTTATGACAATTGTACAAAATGCCTTAATCAAACAGCAATTATTAAAACGAACAAGGACACTTAAGGGTAAGTGTTTGCACAACAGTGGGCCTCAAAGGACTGCTGATGATGATGATTTACATTTGCAGCAAATGCTCAAATTGTTTTCCTTTAGCCGCAATACACGCTCGACATCGTCTTAAAAAGGATCGAGCTATTAAACGAGCGAATCTACGTTTATTAACAAATTCAACTGCTTCCGTTAGTTTTTGCCGTAGCTTAACTATATACATTTTCAATAGGCTTGAAATACACTTTTTCTTTTACGGTTCCCCAGTAAAAAAAAATCTAAAGGATTCAAATCAGGTGACCGGGCTGGCCACGGTATTGTACCAGACCGCCCTATCCATCTGTTTGGAAAGCTTTCATCGAGATACTCTCTAACTGAGCGTGCATAGTGCGTTGGGCAGCCATCATGCTACAACCACATGTCTCTGTAAATACTGAGTGGCACGTTCTCCAATAAATTTTCTAAATGATTTTGCAAAAAATTTAAATAAATTTCAGCAGTCCAAGTCTCTGGAAAAATAAATAAAATTTCTGTCCATCAAATGTGGGTTTGCTACGTGCCTCTCGTATAACTTATGCAAGTTCATGTACCCATCTTTCTTAATTGTCGTCTCATTCGACCATACATTTTTTTCAAACTGTGGATCATCCCTGTGTGACCCTGTCCATTATGTGACAAAAAGCAACTCGGGGCTCATAATCCCGGGGCAGAAGAGCTTGTATACGATGTTGTACGTGGTATGGATGGAACGCATTTTTTTGCAATACCTGTTCTTAATTCGATTGCACGCACCGAAGTACTCGGGTCTTCTCCGACAGCTCCTACCACAACGCCCTCATAACGAAGAGAAGATCCTCCCTCACGGTATGATTGGTTTGGTAGTCGGCTCTCTGAGAACAGTAAGCGGTGCACATTTATGAACACTCGATGATCTCGATCACGAGCTGCATTCGGGTACCTCTCATGGTAACGTCTAGCTGCAGCATTGCATCTGCATTTCCCATAAATGAGGTGCATGTTAGCATATTCTTGTATGGTGTACACGGACATAGCGGCACTGCACAATCGCAACAGTCCAGATAACGAATCAAAATGTAGTAAAAGTACGAAATCAGCACAAACGAGTACGAAAAGATGCGCAGTAAACGAAGTACCGTTACGTACTGATCGGTGTCAAAGTGTGCAATAGCAAGTAACATATCATAGCGTCACTATCTGTCTCGCTCGCACTTCGTAAAATGGCTCTCTTTGTTTCACTCAAACTAGAATAAAATCCTTATGTGATAAAATGATTCTAATATTTATTGAACTCATTTAAGTAAAAACTGATTTAAAACTGGGTTTTTCTTTAAATAAAAATTGTGCACAATTTAACAAATAGTCTTCTAAGTGTCATACCATTTTGGAATCCTTATTAAATGCGCCATCGTTGAAGGTTACTTGCCAAACTCTCGTAGTACATTTTGTCCAGTACAGTCAATTAAAGCTGAGCGTAGTTTCAATTTGGAATACTTGGTTGGAAAAAAATGGCAATTTCCTCTGATCTAGAAATTGTTGGCTGTAAAGTTGAGACACCAGTTTAAAGATGCACTATTCGTCATTACACTGTTAAAATCAAATTCAAAAAATCAAGTTTACCGGCTACAAGGGAAGCCTAGTTATCGCAAGTGTATTTTTCCCGCAGGTGCTACAAATCTACCATTTTACAAATATAGTATTTCGCATCCACATCGCATCGCACCTCTACAGAGATTCCTTGGTCCTACAAACCGGTGTGAAGTTGGCAGACAAAATGTAAATTAAATATTGTTTTTCGTGTAATATATTAATTCTAGAGAATAGAAATTGATACCATATTCTAACAGTTGTAAATGCAAAATGATTGGGTACCCAAAGTAAAATACCCCGCAACAGATAAACAGATACTTTATTTACATACAGCATTCGATTAGTTACAATTACAGTTACAATTCATGTCTTATAAATAAGCGTTACAAAAGCGTGTCTTTTGAACTTCAATGTTGTGTGGCTTCCTCAGCTCATAAGCCCACAGGTTACTAGGGACAGGAAACTCCTACAATTTGATACGTAAACATGCGAACGGGGAAAAGAGATATGCGGGTGGATCAAGTAAAACACTTTTACAGAAGACATGCAAAAACAGTGTTTTCAGTGCCAGGATATGAATCATGTACAGAGTGTTTCAGAATGACGTGCCAATATTTCCATGCTAGAAAGTTTGTCCAAAAATAACAAAAAAGCTCGAATAAATATGAGTCCAAAAATGATTCCCTACCGAGATACAAGGTAATGAAGTTTTGTTAATGAAATTTAAAAAAAACGGAGCCTGTAAAGATGGTAAAGCTTCTACGCTACTGATTGAGGATAAGACACGCATACTATTCATTCAATGTTGTATCGAGGTGCCATAGCTTTGTTCACATCCCATATGGTGTTTCCAAAATCAATCTTCAGGGTTTTTTCAGAATAGCGGAGGCTAAACCTTTTCATAAGAATATTTTAGGATTTCACCTCAAATGTTCAAACCAAATATCTCCAAAGCCGGTGATTTTTAAAAATTCTTTAAGTGACAAAATTTATGAAATATTGTTTAGTATTCAATAAAATTTCTCCGAACAGGCCAGTGGCGTAGAAAATATTTTCTACTAGGGGTCTAGGTACTCTATGTCCCTGGTTTAGTTTGGACTGGAAAACTCTGCATTTAGTGCTTACGATGTGCTCACTAAACGGTTAAAATCTTAACTCAGTATCTTTATCCGCTCCATAGATGTCAGTTTTTCAATTTCGTGAATAAAACTTCATCACCCTGTATCTCGGTAAGGGAGCATCTTTGGATTCATACTTATAATAACCTTTTTTCTTTCTACCCTAGAAATATCGGCACGTCTTTCTGAAACACCATGTATATTGGCGTTTTCGGGTTATGTATCCAAACAATGTAAACTTCAAGAGAATAAAAAAAACTTTGGAATGTTTGGAGCGTCACAATACAAGGTATAACACAATAAATGCTTACTGCTTGGGCTTCTTATCATTCTTCACATTATGGTGCTGTTTGCTGTCCAGTTTCTCCTGAAAAAATTAACGATTAATCAATCACTTAAGCACTTCTGCTGCACATCCTGCGCTGTTGTACGTACAGGTAAAGCAATTTTAAAACTGGACAGCTAATAATATGAGTAGTATAAGGAGAATTTTTCTTTTGTACAGCAAGAAGGAGTGAGGAGATGACTGCTGCTGCCTGCTGTGCCAACTCTTATATATCCCGACCCATACGTAGAAAATACAGTAAGGCCCCTTTGCCTTCTGTATAAGCTGAAAAACAGTTCCCCTCTAAGTTCAGAAGATATTGTCCGCCATCATAGAATAGACAGCTAGTGTCTCTCCGTCTATCAGTAGCGGCGTACTATGAAAAGATTGCACAAACAGTAAGCAGGTAAAAGGCAGGAATAAATCCCCAGTTTTATTGAACATCCGACATATTTGTATTAGCCCGCTAATGCCAGTTATTACTAGCTTATCAAGACAATAGCGCTTCATTAAATACGGAAGTGAATCCACGAGACAACGACGTGATAAGTTTCAATAGTTGAAATGAGTGAATAATTAGAGTAATATCCACCGAAACCTACAGCTTGAACGTGAACACAAAAAATACATTTATCATTATTATCCAGTAACATTACCGTACCTCCGCGACTTCACCTATTTTGAAAGCCTTCAAATAATTCATGGCTTCGCTAGAATGCCCGATGTTAAAAAAATGTTTGGTAGCATCTTTTCCTGCATGTTCTTCTATTATATCTCTGCCACCAGGATGCTGTAAATAAAACAAGTGATTATCTGCGTTGAGTGCGAGGGTTGAATTATTTTTATCATTTTAAGTCATAAGGGCAAATTATTATTATCAAATAACCGATGTATTAGTGTAGGTATGTAAGTTTTAATCATCGTGTTAAGTATTTACAAAAACAAAAATTAGACATTGCATCCCACCTCAGTCGTTTCTAAAATATAGTGAAAGTTTGAACTATTTATGTAACTTTCGTTTTTTACTTCCAACATCTATTACTTCCCATGCCTACTGGCGGGGCATATACCCCATAAGTTAAGTTGTCTGTTTTGTGTAAGATGTTATGTCGTTTTTGAGAAAGAACCTTGCACCACACTTATAGAAATAGTAGTTTCGCATAATTTCTTCCGATATGTTAGATGTTTTAGAGTCCTGAACAAACTCCGAAACTCAACCGGTCCCAAGATATGGTCCGTCTAAGCCAATGTAATGGAAGTATCTGCTCTATTCGGAAGAGCAGTTTTAAATTCAGTTAAATTAACCAAAAGAACTCTTCCTGATAGAGCTGATAGATGAATAGAAGCGATATCTGTTTATACTGATCTAGATGAGCCATATCTTAAGACGTGTTTATTTTATTTTCTTAATCTTATTTATCCTAATCAATCACATTCATTCAAGTTTAATAGGAATATTCTAAAATAATAATCATTGCAGTAGAAGTCGTGAATGCTTAACGCCAATGTAGCATCAAAGTAACGCTATTGCCGGTATAATTAAGTTTAGGTAATAATATGTGACTATTAACAGCTTTTTAGTTTATACCACTAATTTACAAGCTTTTTTTAAGCCCACTTTGAAAGTGTTGCTGGTTTCGGTGGACCCCGTTACATTTCGACCATGTTCCGAAAGCTCGTCAAAAAGTTTGCAAATTAGATCTTACGATGCAAATTTTCAGAGTGATAAAAGTAAAAATAAAAATATTTTCTTATATCGTATTTATTAAACATGATTATGAACTTAATAGTAATAAAATTAAAAACTAATAACGTAAAATGAACAATACAAATCTACAATGCAAAAATAGTATAATAAATCAGAGTTTCAATGCTAGGGATGTTCTTGAAGGATTGGCAGCAAATTTGGTTTCAGTTTTGTAAGGAAATGCGCAAATCTGCAATACTCAATCTCCTCCTTTTTCTATGAATAGATCTGTAACAGCACTAAGAACAGTAAAGAGACAAACGCTATCAAAAGCTTTCTCGCGATTTTCCGGTGCCAAGGATATTTTTCGGGTATCTGTCTGCTGCCAAAGTAATTGATAGCCTCTTTTAAATTTCACCTTCAGCACTTCAGTACTAAATTCAAGTAGATCGTCTTGTAATACCACATATGCCACGTTCATTTCATCAAATGACTTTATGATCCATAGTGGTGTTTGCATCATAATACCAAATGCACCATGCAGAACATCTAAATATTGGATATATGTTTCTATATCTTCATCAAGATATTCTGATTGTAACAAGATTGGATACTGGAAGAATTCGCACCAACTAGTATTTTGATTCATAAATATTAATTTTTCAAGAAACACCGAAATTACTGTAACTGCAAGTTAATAACATTAAATAGTTTAAACAATTATCTTACTCCTTTCTTTTAAAAATTCCGGGAACACCTGAGCAACATTTGTACCCGACATTCTTGTTTATAGTTGACATGAATGAATCCATGCAACATTGGAAGCTCAGCAGGAGTCATGTTTGGGCACACGCGTTGCAGGGATGGGCGGTTATTGATAAAAAACCGGTTATAGGCTACCTGGTTATCATACCAATAACTTTAACCGGCATCGGTTAACCGAACCAAATTTAACCAGTTATATGGTTAACCATCAGCAATCCAACAGTGTCATTGGTCATGTTTACACCGTGGCTAGCCAAGCACCTAGATAACGCATAGCATACGGTGTAAAGGTGTACAGACTTATTTTTTGCGGTGTTTACATCAATGAACAAATTCATGGATTATCTGACAGTATACAGCACACAACAAATTCTTGCTAGAAACATTTTGAGTTTTTATATGTATTGTGATTTTGATTTTTAGGCGAATCTTATAAGCATAAATCATAGTTGCCTACTGTATTTCGATACTTAAATTGAACAGTTGTTCAAAATGATGGAAAGAAATACAAGGTTAGCACCATGCAATTTGACGTCTAATTTAGTAAGATGAGAATAAATTCTAATTGCTTGAAGAAACCTACGAAGAACTTCTTGGATTTGACGTCATGTTTATGTTTTATACTATGGAAATTTGGCCAAGAACTCAATTGATGGAGAAATCCATGGATTTACTGTCAAGTTAAACTTACAACTTCCTTAATGAACCAATCCAAGTTATAGATAAATATAAATGCGGGAAACGTGAAGTTGGCATCTGTCAAACGTCAAACCTTGACATGAACCGTCTCATAAAAAGGTGTTTTATAACTACAGAACATCTGTTAAAACCTAGAGCTATCCCAAAGCGGTTATGCGGGTTTTGGTATAGTTTCTTCAATACCCGAAGTGGTCGAAAACAAAAAAAACAACGTAGTTGTAATATTTACTGAGATTTGATTAGATAGAAAAAAAAGCTTCCTTTCGGTTATTGCATTTTTTCAACCAATAACTGGTTATGAAATAACTGGTTAAAACCGATTAATTAAGTTAGAAAAAGCGGTTATTCAATTAGCCGGTTATTTTCTCCTATCCCTAACGCGTTGCCGGCGGGTGGAGCGACGCGATGGTGGGTGAACTCTTTGCAAGTCTCGACACGCGTTGTACCGAATATCGAATATACTTTTACGAGGCACAGTTGCTGGCCTTTTCAAAATAGTATCTGCGTACAGTGAAAGGTGACGCCAACTCAAAGCTTTTACTTCGAGAAAGTATTGTAATAATGTAATAAAATTTTCGAAAATGAGATTATGTTTTTTGGATCTTACAAATATGACATCACTCATTTCCGTCGGTCTGTCTGTCGGTCTGACCGCCTATCCTATAGCCGCCTACAACTTGAGAGGTGGGTAATGCACGGATTTGGATGAATTTTTCACACAAGGTTACTACTTTTCCAATGACGAAAAAGTTTTCGAAAGTCGGTCCAGTGGCGGAACTGGGGGCAAAAACACGAAAAAATATAAAAATCGGCCAAAATTCGTTTCAGATGCTCCTAGTCATCTTTAGAATTTTTTTCTACGGGTTGAAAGTTGGAGGTTGGGAGCATTAGATGTAGAGGAAAGTATATCTTATTTTGTTGGCGGCAGTATATGAGTATTTCTCAACAAATTTAGAAATTTCATTTTGCATTTCTTAAATAAAATAATGAAAATATGTCCTGTTTTGTTGCAGAAACATAAAGTTTCAGATTAGTTCGGTTCATTTAAAATAAAGGGTCTCAATATTTTTGTGTATAATATGTAGAAATATGACTTTTAAAAATCTATGAAATGAGGGGATGACTGGTAGGATGGGGGGAATGATTTTTACAACAATTTGATGCTGAATTTCAATAAAAAACATAAGTTAATTCATTAATATCGTATTGAGACTTGTTTTATACTTCAGAGAGCTTAGATAGTCCTTCTTCCCTGGGCACATCCTCGTATTTTCATCCTTCTCTAAGAAATAAACAACATCACCCTTAACTTTAAGCATTTTGGAGCTAACTTTACGAGTACAATTCTTTTTGTAAGTAACGTTTTTGAGATGTTTCGATCTATATAGCAATTTGAATCTTTTGTACTAATTGCAGCTGTAACATTTTGTAATATTTTTCCTTTTCTCCATGTTTACTTCCAAGATCTTCTTAGATATTCTTGAGGTCCGTTGACAGTGCTTCTCTGAAAATGAGTCTTTTTCACACAACGTCAGGAACTTGTATATTCTTTAAAAGAGAAGGCACTTTAGTTGCTGGAGAGTTTGGGTCAGTATTTTTAGTTGTCAATCTCAAACATGTCTTTTTATATTTTTCCTGCGTTCCTTACTTTATTTTCCAAACTTTTAATCTTCGCGTACAGAATAGTTCGCCGCTTGCGCATGCTACGTCTATTGAGAGCAGACAAATTCTCTGCTATGCGCTGTAAAGATGGTGCAGGACTTGGTGGGGGTGTTTTCTTCAACTATTCTCTGTAAGTTTGTTTGTAATATAACTCGCTTTTCCCTATAAACTTTACTATTATTTCCCTATTGTTTTCGTTTTTGACTAGTTTCTCTTGCACTCATACATTGACTTAACTTGACCTTGACTCTTCTTCTTTAAATACTTTAATCTTTCTTTTTAACGCAAAGCTTCTAAAGATTCAGCATTAATTTTCATTTGATCTCGCCTCTTTCTGTCGTACTCCTTTTTTAATTTTTTTTCTTCTTGACTTAACGTTTTCATTTTACCCATTCTTGATATACGGATATCTGTTAAAATTGAAAACACATGCTATACTCGTACAACCAACAACACCCAAACCACAATTTTATATATGCAAAAATCATTCCCTCATATAATTTTCATTGCCTCACTTTCTAATATAGTGAGGGAATGACCATGAGGGAATGACGGATTTGCATAAACGACACCGTAACCAACACCACATCACCTCAAATTGATTTAGCATTTTTTGAATGCATTTTACTCCCCAAAACAAGAAAAAAATCATTAAAACAGTAGAATAGTATAATGACTTACCTTTTAATATAAACAGTGAGGTAATTAAATACTTTTTTGCAGGAACTCTTTTCACTAGTAAGAAATTCCGCCATGTTGACATTATTAGCAGTATTGCTAAGTTTCAAAATCATAACAGCTGCGTGCAAAAATATCAAATGTTGTGACCACAAATCGAATATTTATAATGGGTGAGGAAATGGTTTCATTTCAAGGGACATATTTTAAATAGATTTTTTATACACATAT